GGTGGGCGCGAGGCAGCCGCTCGGGCAAACGCACAAAAACCCACTTTGGAATTCGGAAGCGAGCGGGATTGCTAATCGTATCCCACTGCCTTGGGAGGAACTTTTTGGGGAAACAGTCAAGAGAAGAATTTCAAGGAGACAGGAGGAACCAATGTTTACTGAATGGATATTAATTGTGCCTCCTTGAGGTTAAAGCGCTGTTGACTATTTAACGAGCATGTCACAGCCCTGGGTCAGGAGCAACTGCAACCCTCCCTGGAACCCCTGGCCTCTGCAGCTGCTCCAGGGACCTCACTGGAGAGCTTGAGAAAGATCTTCCCAAAAACGGTCTTGTGTTTAAAAGAAACAAAAGAAAACCCCCAAATCCCCCTGAGTTCAGAGCTGAAGCCATACAAGAGCTTGGAGAAGAGGAACAAATATTTCCTGCTTTCTTCACCTTTGCTCTCCCCACGCCACGAGCTCTCAGCCGGCCCAGAGCACGGCAGGCTAGCAGAGAAATCTGCTTCCACACTGAGAGAAGGCTTCAGCTGCAGTTGGAGTTGTTCAAAGTCCCAAGTAGACTTTGAAAAGGAGGGAAAAAAAAAAAAAAAAAAAGGTTCTGTGAGAGTGTGTGCTGATGCTGCAGGACTGACGAACTGTTCAGGCAAAGGACAGTACCAAGGGAGCGCTTCTCGAGCCTCTGGGGAAGCTCGTATTCAGATGGTCTAAACCCCCTCTGAAACGTGAAATAAGACTTTAATGGGCTGTTTTATTTTAGGGGCAAATAGAAATGTATTCTGTGCGTACAGTTAAAGAAAACATCACCCAGGGGCCCACGCCGGAGTTCAGATGTCCCCCAATATGAGCTGTGACATCTCCGTTCCGTTCCTTCCCTTGGCTGTCCCTCGGAGCTGTTCTGGACCCTGCTCCCTTCCCCCAGCTCACTCTCACCTCAGCTCGTGACAATTCAATCCCCTCGTTAACATTTTAATGGGAGTTTGGATCCTCCACGCTCAGCTGCAGGCGATGGTGACTTTTGTGCATTTCTTCCCACCAGAGCCAGCAGCCGCTCCGCTCCGTGGCCATGCAGAATTCAAGCACAAAGGCATCCAGCTCTAACCAAGACAGCAGCCACCTCCCCCCTCCTGCGAGGCAGCAGCCACTGCCACACAGGTATTTCCGTTCCAGGTTGTCCCGGAAAAATTGCACCAGCTAAAAAGAACAAGGAAAACATTTTTGCTGCCAACCACCACTAGGATATTATTCTCTTTAATAAAGTTTAGAGTCGTTCACAATAGCATAGCTTATATAAAAATAGTGCATAATAGGAAAGAACGCTTTTAACCTCAGAAACTCTGCAAAGGCCTCTCCAGGGCACTCACAGCACGGCTGCACTGCACAGCTCCCATCAAGGAGAGGATGCGTTGTGTCAGCAGTAGGGGGAAAACCCAGACTGAGATGCGTTGAAGATTTACGCATCTTCTTCCTACCTGCAGATAAAAATGCCTCGGTCTGAACTAACACCTGAATCCCAGGAAGCTGGAGTGTCGTCAGTATTTTCACGGTCCTTTTTATTGAAGGCAGATTTCCACAGAGAATTCATGAAATACAAAAAGTGTAACTGAAATGTGAATTATTAGTTCCCCAAACCCAGCATGTTGCAGCATTCGAACCAAAATGAACATAAAGAACAGGGATTGTGGTCAGCATCCGTCCCAGCACTATTCTCACGTTCTCCCTGGGGAATCCCATGCTGCTTTCGTTTGGAAGTCAAGCCCTCCCTCCAGTAGTTAACTCACCCCTTTTCCCACTGGACAAACCCCTCAATGCTACTTCAGATTCACCAAATTGTGAACTCTGGCCACATACTCTCAGATTTTACGGCGCTGTGTCTACTGGTAGAATCCAGCTGCAGCAACAGTTGTGGGGAAAATGCACAGGTTATGGTCCTCTGAGAACGTTCGCAGGAACCCACGTTAATCTAACACGCGACTAAAGGCCGAGAGGGTTGCTCTCTTCCAAGCAGCACCTCTGGATGTGCCTCAGAATGAGTTCACCCGGCGGCCTTTACGGTGAAACCCACCAGGTTCCTCTGCCAGCACCCGAACTGCAGCTGCGCTGGGAAAGCGTCTGTAAGGTGCCACAAAGCAAGGAGCCTTTACAGACACCTGCTCCTGGGCTGGACGGGAAGGAAATGCAGTCCTCAGTCTTTAGCGTCTCCCACTCCATCGGCGTTAATGGCAAACATTGCTTCAGCCTCCGGAAGGCAAGGGGAGTCGTAGATTTTACATATTCTGGTCTCACCCCTGCCTTTCCGCAGGTACAGTCTGACAGGGAGAAGGAAAAGGAACAGGTAAGGATGTACAGCCCGCTTTCAGTACATCACTGTCGTTAAAACATCACGTTAGTACACGAGTACAGCACACTGCAGAGCTGTGGGGACTTCTGAAAACGCTGTGTTCATTTTTCTTCCGATTAATGAGGGCTCAGAGTGGCACTCATTTGTTGACAAGCAGGCTGGGCTTGCCAGACAGACTATGCAGAATTTAAAGGTACTTAGCTAGTTTCATAAAATCTTCCCAAAAAAGGCTAATGGGAGATGACGATCTATCCTCTCACCTCGTGGTGGAAGCATGTGCTATGATGTTTCCCCCAATGGGTTTTTTGGGATCTGCAGCAAACATGGCCGCTCCATCCACTTGGGCTACTACTTGGTTGGTGATCACAACCGCCACGCCAAACTGCACGGAGAGAAGCAACAACCAAACCGTGTTTATTTTCCACAGTCCGAACAAAGGGGAAAAACCCCCACCCCACCACATATGCACTTCTGTTCTCTCCGCTGTCTGTAACCGCTCTATCGTGTGCCTCAAAACAAAACGGAAGCAGCCACTGAGCAGGCAGAACCCATTTGTACATCGCTAAGCTTGACGAGAGAAGGAAAACTGATCACCAGTCCTTTGGGCAATACAGCAAAGATCATGGTTTACCTCATCTGCCAGTCGAAGCAGCATACGCAGAAATCTGGCCAGATGCATCTGCCGAGCTGACAGCTCACCCCGTCCCGAATAATCCGTCCGATAAAGGGCCGTGGCACTGTCCACGATCAGCAGCGCGTATCTGGAGAGAAGACGGACAAGGTTCTAAGAAACATTTCCAGGCACGAATAACGCCTCCATCGGGGTGCGACAGTGCCCAGCAACCTGTACGGCTGCACACAGAGTGGGTGTAAGCTCCTCTCAACCTTTAGCAGAATTATTATTTTCAACACCACTGATTTGATACGTAATGTTCAGATGACTAACTATACAATAAACCCCAGTAAACCCAAAGAAAGCTGCTGCAAGATTAAAAACTTCCATTTATTGTACTCTTAATAAAGAAAAATCACTCCACCTAGATCAGTGTTATTACCGCGATTCGGCCATCATAGCAGATGCCTGATAGAGGAGCTGGGTCTGATGATCTGTGTTAAAACCTCGAGCATACGCCACGTTATCCAGGACATCGCTGCCAGACAAGCCATACCTGGAGAAATCAGTGAAAAAAAATAAATATTTAACTTCATCAATAGGAGTTATCTAGCAGCTTTACCTAAAGATTAGGAAAAAAAAAAAAAAAAAATCATTCCTGGGAGAGTCTTCGAGATAAAAACAGACAGCAAAACATGCAACACAACTTGGTGAAGAAGAGAACAGAATGACTTGAAACCATATTTAAGAGATTTTCCTGTGTAGGAATGACAGTGAAGTAGAGCACCAGACACTTTCCTCAAAATAAAACCACAGGCAAGGAAAGTTACCGTTCTGGAACGGGATATTCTGAAAGCAGGATAGTGCTAACAAAAACCAGTGATCAACAGTCCTCCACCTGCAATACCTCTGTCAGTATTTTACTACCAAATATAAAACCAGACAAGTTACATTCAATATCTTGTACTTAAATTATTCATATGACACTTTTTGAGAAACCTCTTAGCATTTGGAGAACTAGTTGATTATCCTCCTCGGATCTGAAATGCAGTAATATTTTTTCCAACGAGAGAGAACACACATAATTTGTTCCCGTTTCTCGTTTCACACTACAGCACATTTCACGGACTCTTTGAAGCTGGAAGGGGTCTCTGTGGATCAGCCAGCCCAACTCCCCTGCCGCTCACAGCGGGATCAGCTGCAGCAGGTTACTCAGGACTGTGTCCTGTCAGGTTCTGAACATCTCCAAGGATGGAGTCTCCACAATCTCTCTGGGCAACCTGGTCCAGTGTTTGGCCACAGTGGACACTAAACCCTTTTTGCTGCCTTTTGCAAACCTCACCACGTTCAGCTCCAGAGAGACTTTGGCTTTCCTAACCCCATTCCTGTGCACTCGGACAGCGCCTCTAAATTCCTCCCAGGTCACCTGTCCGTGCTTCCCCCTCTTGTCTGCCTCCTTTTTGTGTTTAAGTTTTAGCAGGAGCTCCTTGTTCATCCACACAGGTCTCCCACTGCCTTCGCTTCATTCTCTCCCTTTCATTCTCTCTGCTTCCAGCTGCTCACTCCTGTCCCCTCCATCACTCCAGCACCAGCAATTTCAGCCGCCCTGCAGTGAACCACGTTAGTAACTGCTCTGCTCCAGCCTACCGCCCAGCAGCCACCAACGCCAACACCGTGGGGCAAGAGGAATGGCCGGACTGCCTGCAGCGGCACAGAATCAAGCCTCATTAAACCCAATTAAAACTGGAGTTCCTGCCCCACGGAGACTGTAGGCTGTGCAGCACATCACAAAGCAGACACACTGTGAAACCAGCCTCAAGCATGAGGAGGGCAGCTTGGTCTAACAGGTCACCTGGGCTCTTGGCAAAAAAAATCACTTCATGAAAAAAATATCTGCCGAGGAATGACAAAGGGTAAAACCAAAGAAACTTTAGGGAAAAAGCATCTATAATGATAGGCCAGGCCTTGAAGTGTACTTGAAGGCTGCTTGAAGTCAGTCACTTGGCAATTAAGTCCTGCTTCTGTAAGTGCAGAGCAAAAAAAAAGGAGGACAGCTGCTCTTTAAGCTAGAAAATTTGTACAGAAGTTTTAAAAATACTTCTTAAAAAACCCACCTACTCAGCCTGAAAAACTATGAACCTAAGTCAGCCTAGCAAAGGTGCAGCAGAAAACAGGCAATTGATTCTATCTTTGCAGAACATCTGCGCCTCTGCATTAAAATCAGCTCAGCCTTGCTGCATGGTTTTGGCGTGTAGCTTGGAAACAATCCATGTTTGTCATCTTATTGCTTCCAGAAGAAAGCACACAGCTTACTGACATGAAAATTCTAATCAGTATCTAGGTGGAAATATTTTTTAAAACTACCACACAACCGAAACTGTTAATTCAAAACTTAGGCCCAAATTCCAGTCTGAATAATTGCATTCTGCATCCTTAAAGTTCCCCTCCTACTTCAGGCAGGTACGACGTGCTTCACGTCCCCTCCCAAAGTGCTGGGCTATTTTCCTGTTCAAGCTGACACAATTTCAGCAGTTGATAAGCACTGCAAGATAAAGAAATACTTCAGCTCAAGTTCACTGGAGCTGCACATACACCTCGATATTTAATTGAAACAATGACCACAGAGAATTACACCCCATAGAAGCATTTTCAATTTTGAGAAAGCCTAAAGAATCACAAGACCAGAAGCAGCTCCTTTTTCTAATGTACAGAACCAGTGCTTCAGGCTTTAAGTCCAACCAGACTCTCTGCGTAGACAGCAGAATATTTACTGGGGTAATTATCGCAGGTAGGCAGACAACTAGAATGCAGACAAATTTTTGTTTGGTTGATTTTTTAGGGACAGTTCTTACTGCAACAGTCCCATGAATTTAAGGGGACGGGCTGATTTACACAGTCATCCTAGTCAACCAACTCAGCTGTCCCAGGAGTAAATGTACTGCTGTATTAACTAACGCCAGGTGACTTCCAGCCCTCGGTACAGACCTCTCAGCCACGGCAAGCAGACGTTCTGGACGGAAGGTCCCTTCTGTGTCAATGTACATGGCTTTGCCTTCGCCACCACCCCGGTCAATGGGAAGCTAAAGGAAAAGCAAATAAATGAACATGCAATAAAATATCAATAAATGATCCACTTACTGCCCTACAGCCTCCACCGACACAAATAACACACCGAGCTATTGCAATTAAAGTTACATTTCTCTGGGGAAAGATGCAGTGGTCCTAGCAGGCAGATTAAGTGTGAAACAAAAGATCCTAGAAAGCTGCAAGTACAGCCCAAGGGTGCTCACGTTCTCTGCAGCTGTTTATACATATCACATTTGCATTGGCTGAGAGAAGTGCACAGATTAGCAAACTGAATACTTGATTTTTATAAAGTGTACTACTCACTTGACAGGTTACCGCCAGGGTATGACACAGCTGGGTTTTTCCCGTACGAAACTCCCCAAATAACTCTGTTATGGACCCTGTTTCTATTCCTCCTGAACAGAAAATAATAATTAAAAAAAAAATCAGGTCACGTAGTTCAAACAAAGACCACATGTATAAACTATTACACTTACAGAGACTCAGCTAAACACTTCCTTTGGTTAAAAGTTTCAAAATTCTAATTGTGAAGCCAGGTTTTCATACTGAGATTCGTCCATGCTGCAGATAAAAAGCTTCAGTAAGTGTATTTTTGCAGATGCTGAAAAGACTTGTTTTGATTTATGGATTACAAGTAGGAATGGGGAGAAGGTAAGTCTTGAAATAGGTCACAGACTAGAATAAACTAGAAACATCCAAACGAACAGCTCTGGGTACTGCATCATGACCAAAAGGTTTTAAACTATTAATACAGCTTTTAAAAGAAAATCAATTGTGATACAAGAGAGAAGAACTTTTTCATTCAACTAGAACTTGAGTGTCTTATGTGTTTTTGTCCAAGGATCACATTCACAGGAAAAAAAAAATCAGGTAATGAAGTCTAATCAATAAAGAGAAATAAAATCGTTACCTTGAAGTAGTTTATCAAGTTCTTTGGAGCCAGTGGTGATCTGGATGATCTCTGACCTTCGCTGGTGGAATTCCGTTGCTGTAGTGAAACCCATTGGAACCAGTTTAGCTGCTTCAGCCTAAAGAAAAACAAACTAAGCAGTGTGAGGAGTGTTCATCCCATTCAGTCACCCCCTCTAGTAATCAATACTGTAATTTTCTATTTTGAGAAATGGAGAAGCACCTATATAATTTGATGCATAACTTTTATTTTAGAGATCATATATTAGTTGGTATTAGGCTTATCATAAACCTTCTTGGCTTGAGAAATACTGAGGCAGAAATAATAATAATCGCGGGCATATTCTCCAAAGCTTCCACAATTTTTATAGATCTTTCAATAGACCCTCCCCCTTCACTTCTTGACGCTGGTCCTAGTGTTTTTTGTCTCTTCTCATCAAAAGTCACAACATACCTCTAATCATCTCTACTGCCCTTCTCAGTATATAATTAATAGAGAACTTCCAAAACCTCCAGAACACTTTTAAGCCAGTAGAAATAAAACTTCTTGAATATCTTGGGTCAAAGCTTTTCCACAACACCCTTACCAAGATTTTGTCAGCTTTGGCTTCGCTGATGCCTTTGATATTTAGTAGCTCCTTCTTTGGTGCATAAGCAACAGCCTCAACCGTGTGGAATCCAGCTTCTTCCAATTTCTTCACATCATTTGCATTTATACCACATTGCTGAAAGGGAGGGGAAAAAAGGACTCACTAAGGCACAAATACCTTAATCTAACTTCCACCAAGTGCCTTCAACTGGTTTCATCAGATTTAGATCAAACTCTGTTATTACAAGGCAGCATACTGAATGTTACCTTCCCCATTCGATTATTCTCAAAGAACCATACAAAAATAAAATACTCTTACCACTGTAATAGTTGCATAAGCTATTAACTATATAGATAGCATAGAACAGGCAGAAGATATCATTCTCTATTCGGTTTAATAGATATTGGAGATGATCAATACCCGTTAGGAAAGGCTACACAGCCAGGCAGCATCAGATAAAACATAACTGTTAACATGTTGGGTTTTTTTTGGTTTTTTTTTGTTTTGTTTTGTTTTTGTTTTTTGACAAAACACAAGTAAGAATTTAGCAACACACTTTTCAGATACAACTTGTGTTTACAGAAAAAGACCAGCAAATTTCTCAACATCTTACTCCAGCGCTAACTCCTCACCTACCTCTAACCGAGAGATGAGCTGTGGCCCGAAGCTCTCCTCCTCCGCTGACGTATCCGCACTTGCTTCGAGCTGCATCTGCATAGCCA